CTCCTGCGTGGAGAAGGACGTGCTGTTCCGGAGGGGCTGTGGCTGAGAGGGGGCGGGCGGGTGTCACTGCTGCTCCAGCTTGTCTCCATCACAGAACAGACCCCAGGGAGGGAGTTGCAGGGAGAGCCCCCTGGCTGAGGCCAGCCGCTGCAGCCAGACCTAGGGTTGGGTCTTGCTGCGCCCTCATGCTAGACAGCCGGCCCTGGCCTGCCAGCCTGGGGGAAGAGGGTGCAGAGCCCAGCTGTAGGGGGTCATGCCGGAGGCAGGGGTCTGGCCTGGGTGGGCTTGTCATTCTGCAGAGATCCCTTAACCCAGGGGTCCCCAACGTGATGCCCGCGGGCGCCATGGCACCCGCCGGGGCATTTTTGTGTGCCTGCAGGACACCCTGCCGCCGCAATGCCGCCAAGAAGCGTTGCTGTTTCTCGGTGGCATTTCAGCGGCGACGCTTCTTCCCGCTGCTGCTTTTCAGATGTTCACAGTTTTCCAAAACATGTGCTGTCCGGGGCAGGAATTTTCCAGGCTTGGGGGGGTTCTGCCTGAAGGAAATTATTTGTTTGTTTTTTTTTATTTTGGAAAATTTGAGCAAAAGCCCTTTGAGTCATTGGAGAGTGGAGAAAATATCCAGCAGTATTCAGGGCAAAGCCAGCTGAGGTTTGACTCCAGGCTTACCTGGATGAACACCTTCCTGGGGACTGTGGCCTTGGCTTGGGTTGGAGACCAAATCTTTTTGGTTTAGTGACTGAGGTACATACAACTGGTTGAAAATCACATGCTGAGCTTGTGCAGTTAAATCTCAAGGGCTGAGATCCTGCAAGCAGATCTGTGCGAATGAAGCCCCGGTGAGGCTCTGACCCTGCTTGTCTGGGTCTGTTTGCAGGATCCGTGCACAGCTAGCAAAGATTGCCGTGGAGAGGCTGTGTGGCCTAGTGGATAGAGCACTGGATAGGGACTCAGGAGAATGGGTTCTATGGCCAGTTCTCCCAGTAGCCTGCAAGATGCTTGGTGAAGCCACTTCCCTAAGTTTGGATTCCTCTCCTGGGACTGCACCCAGGGAGGGAAGTACCTGTGTGAAGGGAAAGTGTGCCTCAGTTTCTCCCATCCTTTGCAAAGCGATGAAGAGTGCAGCGTAGGGGTATTAACATTATTGTTGGTTGAAGGGACGTCTGAAAGCAATGGATTTTTTTCCTCTTTAAAAACCTAGGAAATTCAATCCACAGAATTTTGTAAGTGCAGCACTAAATTTGCAGAGATCAGAGAACAAAAATACCTGCAGAATTGATGATTGCCTGTTCTGTTCATTCCCTCTGAAGCACCTGGCATTGGCCCCTGTTGGCAGACAGGACACTGGGCTGGAGGGACCTTGGTCTGGCCCCGTCTGGCTGCTCTTACGTTCAGAACCGAAGAGTCCCACAGCACTGCCACCTCAGCACCAGGGCACACACCGGAATTCTCTGTTCTTCTCTTGGGGATCAAATGTGCAGCATAACATAGGTGCTGAGCTGATGCTGCTAGTGGGACCTTAAACTTGAGTATTTTCTGTCTTAGTCTATTAATTGCACTGCAGTAGTGCCTAGGAGTGCCCCAGTCACAGACGAGGACCCCAGAGTGCCAGGTGCTGGACAAAACTAGAACAACAAGTCCCTGAGCCAAAGAGCTGGGGTTTTAGCTGGGCGGCCAGCATGTTGCAGCAGGGGGACGGTGGGTTGAACTTAGTAAAAGTGAAGTCTTTGTTAAGGTGCCTGGTGGGTGTAGGCAGAGCTCAGGAGGGTGTCTGGGAGCCTGGTGGGTGCTCGGAGTTGGAGATTGGGGACATCCTGTCAGCTAGGGATGGGGTTCAGCACCGTTCACAGGAGCTGGGTCATTAGTTAAGGACCAGCTGGTCAGGGGAAGCGGGTTGGCCGGGAAGGCGGAGGGATGGGGCAGGGGGGCTCAGTGCTGGAGATGTAACAATCCTTGCTGTATGTTTTCCTGTTGCAAGCAGAGCTCCGGTGAACACCCCTCCCCCACCTCCCCTCTCAGGCCTCCCCCAAGCCCTGCAGCTCATGGGGGGGATGTGCAGCTCCTCCCCGCCATGCACCAGGCTCCCTTCCCCGCAACCCCTTTGCATCCTGCCCCTGTTCCTGCTGCTGAGCTCATGCGCTCCCCTCCCCCATGGGGAGCATCAGCCAAGCAGCCCTCCATTCAGGGCCCAGCCATCAGCCCCCTTCCCCCTCGCTCCAGACGGGCCCAGCCAAACGGGGAATGGATGCCCCTGTCCCTAGCGGGTGCGGGGGGCAGCAGGCAGACAGCAGGATTGGGAGCCCCCTGACTGGGGCGTGGGGTGCTCCAGCCACAGTCCTGTCTCCAGCACACAAGGGGAGCGGGGGGTGGCAGGGAGCCAGGGTTTACTGTTTCCCCTGCTCTGGTGCTTCATGGCTGAGAGGTGGAGGCTGCCAGGCGGAAGCGGGGGGGTTCAGTTATTGTCCCAGCCCCAGGCCTGCTTCCCTTCCCGCCCCCAGCATCAGGCACAAAGGGGGAGGGCAGCCTTTGCCCCGCCTTCGTACCCCTCTGCTCCAGAGGGCCGGGCCAGATTCCTGCACTGCCGGCTTCCCACTAGGATGCCTTGGCTCCACCGCATGTTTGCAAACAGGATCCAGGAGCTGGTCGGGGCTGTTCAAGCCAGAGATGCTTTCCTTCCTCACTGTGCATGGGATGGCACGTTGTTGCCTTCAGGGATGCTGGGCATGGGATGGGTCAGGGCGCCCCTCTGCCAGTACTCCTGCCCCACTCCCCACAGCGCCCCCTGCTGGGAAAGGCTGGGGCTTGAGTAGCTGGGAGCTCCCCCCACAGCCAGTGCCCTGACCCGCTCCCCACAGCGCCCCCTGGTGGGAGAGGCCGGGGCTGAGGTAGCCGGGAGCTCCCCCCACAGTCAGTGCTACTGCCCTGCTCCCCACAGCGCCCCCCCCCCGCTGGGAGAGGGCATTTCCTGAAGAGACCCTTTCCCCCTCCCTGCCGTGCCCGGGGCATAGTGGCCCCTAAGCCAGGTGGCAGGTGCTGTGGTTTGCTCTGGTTGCCTCATGCCATCAGCCACAAACCGTGGGCTGGGGAGAGTTAACCCAGTGGAACTAGGCCAGCCCTTCAGCCCGCGCATGCCAGGACCTTGTTTTGCCAGATCTGGGCAGGACGCCAAGTTCCTGCTGGCCGTGCTGTGAAGCTGACGTAGTTGGCGCTGCTGAGCCAATGTGACCACTTCCCCTCAAGAGAGCGGGGGGCGCTTCATTGGGGGGCAAGAGAGGAGTCCCGGGGGCCCAGTGCGAGGGGGTGGGTGAGACCAGAGGGTTGGCCTAAGGGGATTGAAGTGAGTTGAAGGATTCACCTTATCTGACCCGATCAAAGGGCTGGACACAAACACCGTGTGAGGCGCCAGGATCCGCCCCCGCCTGGCCTTGGGAAGCGGGGGAGGCCGTAGGGTGCCAGGGATGGGCTGGGAGGAGGGCGGGTGCAGCCTGGGACTCAGGACTCCAGGGTGCCATTCCCAGCTGAGCTCCGGCCTCCCTGGGTGACGGCTCCCTCCCCACGCCCCTCTGCCACCCAGGGATAAAGACACCGTCCTTGCCTGATCATGCTCATGAGATGCCAATGGGCTGCATGGGAGCCTTCATTGATGTGGAGAAGGGGTGCAGTGGGGTGGAGAGACATGGCCAGTGGGAGGGGGCCTCAGGGGGCAGAGAAGGTGGGCGAGTGCATCGGCTCTGTGCCTAGACGTGCCCTGCTCTCTCTGCAGCCTTGTCTGAATCACAGCCCCTGCTACCATGGCCCAGTGTCCAGCACTGACCTGTGGGTCTCCTAGGGGCAGTGTGGGGTCACCCCATGGACCCCCAAGGAGGTGGCAGAGCATTAGTACCTTGGGACAAGGGTTATTCAGGCCAAGACAGGCAAAGCCCTGGCACCTCAGCTTCTGGGCAGAGGGGCATCACTGTGTGTCAGGGAGTGTGGGGCGTGGAGGGGTTGGGGGCTGTGTGAGCAGTCGTGGAGGGACAGTGGTTGTGGCAGCGGGCAGATTGTGTGGCAGTGGGTATATTTGCTGTGTCCATGGGGGTGTCTGCGGGATTGCATCTGAGTAGGCCACATGCGCAGAGGGCATTTATTTGTGGGCAGGGTACATGTGTGGGATGGGGAGTGCTTTTATGTGGAGGGTTGTCTGTGCAGGGGGGTGCGGAGAGAGATATGGTTTGCTAAGTCTTGCCCTTGGTTCCAAGCAACTGCTGCTTTCTGAACCCACTGCCTGCTCTAGGCACCCCTCAGCCTGTGCAGGGATGCCAGCTGGGCGGCCGTTTTTCAATTAAATGTTTTTGTGTTGGTGGGAATGGATCAGTGTCACCGACACTTGCCCTGAGGATTGGGGGGCTGGCACGGGAGGATCCTCAGGTTTAGGATGGCCTTTCTTGGAGCGTGGGGGGGAGGAAGGAGACAGAGAGAGCCCCCAGGAGAGCCAAGCACCCAAATGGTTAGTGGTTAGAGCGATGACATCTGTTGCTGGGTGGTTCAGGCATTGCTATTCCCTTCCTTCCCCTGCTGAGTTTGGAGGTGGGATTTGAATGTGAGTCCCCCCCACCCCCATAACCACCACCAATGCTCTAATCCTGGCCTGCTGGGGAAGGGAAGGGGATGGTCTCTCGCTCTCTGTTGAAAGGTCTCCCTTGTGTTCTGATGTGGAACGGGAATAATTTTCACAGGGAAAACCATTCCCAGTGCAGCCGCAGCTGGAACTGCTGCCCCATTCCCTACGGTGCCCCCTGCTGGAAAAGGTCTCACCCCACAGCACTTCTGCCACGCTCCCCACAGCTGGTGCAGCTGCCCCGCTTCCCCTAGCGCCCCCTGCTGGGAGATGCCGGGGCTGGAATAGCTGGAGCTCCCCCTGCAGTGCCCCATGGCAGGAGAGCCTGCCTGGAGAGCTAACACTCTGTGTGGCTTCCTCCTTGTAGAGTTAATGCCTTGGCGCTCTGTCTATCCCTTCCCAGCCCAGCCACAGCCACCCAGCTCCTTCGCTGTTCCTGAAGACCCAGCACGTGCCCTGCTCGCCTGCCTGCAGCCAATGAACTCCATGAACCCAATGAAACCATCCCTCCCACCCACGCCGCATGGGTGAGTGTTTCTTTTCATCTGCCCATCAGTCCGTCTGTCTGTCCCTGGCACACCTTAGGATTTTGGGGTGGGCTTTTCAGGGAGATGTATGGGGAACTAGGGTCCTCCCTCACCTCTCCTGCTGGCCGGGATGGGGGGGAGCAATAGAGCTCTCCACGCACAGCTCTAGTGTTGCAAACAATGTGGCACCAGAGGACGGGGTGATGTGTCTTGTATCATCTCTACACAAACCTCGCTGATAACTACCTTGCGTTGCCTCCTGCCCTGTCCCTGCTCCCCAACATAGACCCAGCGCCTCCTCCCCCATCATGGATCCCCCCAACTTAGCACCTCCTGCTTGGCCACAGATACCACCCCAGCTCTTTCCAACGCTCATAGGTAGACTCTTAGACCATCATTATCATCTAGTCTGCCCTACTGCACGTTGTAGGCCACAGAACCTCGCCCATCCTCTCCTGTAACAGACCCCTCACCTCTGGCTGAGTGACTGAAGTCCCCAAATCGTGATTTAAAGGCCCCAAGTTACAGAGACTCCACTATTTACACTAGTTTAAACCTGCAAGTGACCTGGGCCCCACGCTGCAGAGGAAGGCAAAACCCCTCCAAGGTCTCTGCCAATCTGACCCAGTGGAAAATTCCTTCCTGATCCCAACTCTGGCGATCGGTTCAACCCTGAGCATGTGGGAAAGACCCACCAGCCAGACACTTGGGAAAGAATTCTCTGTAGTAACTCAGAGCCCTCCCCATCTAGTGTCCCATCACCAGCCGTTGGGGATATTTGCTGCTAGCAGTCACAGATCAGCTCCATGCTATTGTAGGCAGTCCCATCACACCACCCCCTGCATAAATTTATCAAGCTCAGTCTTGAAGCTAGTTCATTTTTTTGCCCTTACTGCTCCCCTTTGAAGGCTGTTCCAGAACTTCACAGAAACCTTCACCTAATTTCAAGCCTAAACTTGTTTCTGGCCAGTTTATATCCATTGCTTCTTGTGTCCACATTGGTGCGTACCTTAAATAACTCCTCTCCCACCCTCCCTCAGATCTGCCAGAGCCCCTCCCCAGCCATGGATGCCTCCAGCCCTGGCCATGTGTGTCTGTCCAGTTGCTCCACCATCCCCACCAACCCCCCAAAGGGCTTTTTAATGGCCTTGTTTTCCTTTCTAGTGATGGTTCATTTGCATACGAGTCAGTTCCTTGGCAACAGAGCACCAATCAGCCTGCAGGATCTCTCTCCGTGGTAACCACCGTTTGGGGCGTCAGCAACAACACGTCCCAGAGCCAGGTACCTGGGGCAACCTCCCTGAGTCACGGGGACACAGCTGGAGGCCCCTGGGTGTGGCAGTGGCAAGGGCAAGGTCTAGGGCGCTGCCCAGAGCTGGGGTGCTTTTGGGAGCCCCTAAAACATTACAAAGGGGAAAGCGTCCCTGAGATCTGTCCTGGGACCTGTACCCCCCTCCTGCCCCTCTGCCAATCCCTTTTCCCCACCATTGTCCCTGCTATGACAGCCTCCCACATATGTCCCATCCCAGCCCCCTTCCTCCCTTCAGCCCCAGCCCCCCATGTTCTGCCTCTGTCAACTCATCTCCCCCCACACACCACCCCCACTCCATCAGCTCCCCACAAACACTGCCCTTTGCCAACTCTGTGCCTACACGTGTTCCTCCACCAGCCCCCCTCGCCCCTCCAGCCCCCTCTTTCCTTCCCCTACTTCCAGTCATGCTGCTGGTGCTTGGGCTGCAGCCCCTTGGCGAAGGGGGTGTGATGAGGGGTTCCCGGGGGTGGGTGGTCTGGCATCTCATGCTGCCTCTCTCACCCCCTTACACCACCTCTCTTGGGATCTGTCCTGTGCAGGTTTTTGGAAACTCCATGGGCCCTGGGGGAAACACCTCTGGAAACCCCATGATGCCCGGCATGGCTGGCAGTGGCTCTGGAATGAACTCGCCTCAGTTTATGGGACAGCAGCCTTTCCCGGAGGGGGCCGCCAGCAAGGGCTACGTGCAGCAGGGGATGTACGGCCGTAGCACATACCCTGGGGGGCCGGGCTTCACCACCAGGTAAGGAGGGGGCCTTGGCGTGGCTCGGCTGGCCTCATGCCCAGTCTCTGTGTGGTGGGAGCGCTCTCCTGGGCGTGATGGCTTCTCAGGGTCATGGGCAGCCCTGGGTGTGATGGGAGAATTGAGCTGTTCTCTCTAATAAGCCCTCAAACACCCCATGCCCACACACACTGCTGTGCTGGCCAGGTAAGGAGCCGTCCCCATGCTCCCATCATTGTTGATGGCACTGGGGAGCCCAGCCTTGGGATGGGGTGGAGGCTCCTTCAGGGAGATGGTGGGGCGCCATTATGGCCTTCAAGGGGGGAGTCCTACAGCCCTTTGCAGGAATGGCTCTGTGACTTCCTCCCCTTTCTCTAGTTACGCAGGCAGCCCCAATGGCCCCGGCGGCATGGGCCTCCCTTCACACACGGGCCGGCCCCCGGCCGACTTCACCCAGGCGGCTGCTGCAGCCGCTGTGGCCGCAGCAGCTGCCACGGCCACAGCCACGGCCACAGCCACGGTGGCCGCCTTGCAGGAGAAGCAGAGTCAGGAGCTGAGCCAGTACGGAGCGGTAAGAGTGTGCTCCCTCAGCCAGGCAGCTGCTGGCAGGCCGGAGGCACTGGGCTGCAGTATTAGATGGGGTGTCGGCGTAACTCTGGGGCCCGGCAGCCCTGGTGGTGGGTACGGGTTGGGGATGGTGCACAGGTGCCTCAGCATCGACGGGATAGGGTTGGCGTTCTGGAGGCCCGGCGGCGCTAGGTTGTGCTGGGTGCTCCAGGGTGTTGGGGTTGGCAGGAGCCCCAGCACGAATAGATGCGCGGGAGGGGAGATAGGTGTTCTGGCAGTGGTAGGTATGTGTGGGGTGGGGTAGGTGATGTTCGTGGGGTGGGGGGTCAGTGATGGAAGTTAGGTGCTGGGTGGATGTGGGGAGGGGGTCAGTGATGGATGCTGAGTCTATGTGGGGGTTCAGTGATCGGGTTGTTTGGAGGGTCAATGACTAGTGCATGGGGGGGTTCAATGATGGGTGCTGGCTGTGGAGAGGGTCAGTGATGGGTGTATGTGGGAGGTCAGTGTGCGGTTGGGTGTGTGTGGGGGTCAATGACGCATGTACATGGTGGGTCAGTGATGGGGTTGTGTGGGGGGGTTCAGTGATGGGTGCATGCGGGGGTCAGTGATGGGTGTTGGGTGGGGGTGATTGATTCAGTGATGGGGTTGGGTGTGGAGGGGTCAGTGATGGGTGCATGGGGGGTTAGAGATGGGGTTGGAGTGGGGGGGGTCAGTGATGGGTGCGTGGGGGGGTCAGTTACAAGTGATGTGGGGGTTCAGTGATGGGTGTGCATGGGGGGGTTCAGTGATGGGTGCATGGGGGGGTCAGTGATGGTTGTTGGGTGGGGGGATCGGTAATGGGTTCTAGGTGGATGTAGGGGGTCAGTGGTGGGTGCATGGGGGGTAAGTGGTGGGGTTATATGTCGGGGGCATCAGTGATGGGGTTGGGGTGGGGGTGTTCTGTGATGAGATGCGTGGGGGGTCAGTGATGGGGTGGGTGTGTGTGGGGGTCAGTGGTGGGGCCAGTGATGGCATTGGCGGTGTGGGGGGTTCAGTTATGGGTTGGGGGTATGGGAGTTCAATGGTAGGTGCTGAGTGTGGAGGGAGTCAGTGATGGGTATACGTAGGGGGTCAGTGATGTGTGTATGTGGGGTGTCAGTGATGGGGTTGGGGTGGGGGGTTCATTGATGGGTGCATGGGGGGGTTAGTGATGGGGTTGGGTGTGGTGCGGTCTGTGATGGGTGCGTGGGGTGTTTCAGTGATGGGTGCTGGGTGTGGGGGCATCAGTGATGGGGTTTGGTGCTGGACACCTCAGCAGTGCTGAGTGCTGGGGTGTGAACCAGGAATTGTTGCAGTACCCTGTGTGCTTTGTTTCCTTTCCAAGTGGCTCTGATCTCTCTACTTATTTCTCCAGATGGGGGCCGGGCAGCCATTTAACAGCCAGTTCCTGCCTCACTCGGGCCCCCGCGGACCCGCTGTGCCAGCTGGGATGAACCCTGCCAGCATGGGGGGCGTGATGGGCCCTTCAGGAATGTCTCCCATGAGCATGAACCCCGCCAGGGCCCCTGGCATGACCCCCTTGTATGGAGGACAGAGGCTGCCCCAGCATGGGTACCCTGGGCCCCCACAGAGCCAGCAGATCCCCCGGCAGGGGGTCAAGAGGGCGTATTCCAGTGACGTGAGTAAGAAGCAGGGATGAGGCCGGCATGATCAGCGGGCAGGGGATTTGGGTCCCATTGCAATTAAACAGCCCAGAGCAACCCCACATGCTGGGACCCAGCTTGCCGCTGCCCAAGGAGGGGGTCCTGGGCCTGGCTCCTGCCTGGGGAGGCTGGGAGCCCTGCAGCTCTGCAACCTCATCTGTCCCCTCAGGAGAGACCTGATGCCCAGCTTTAACCCTGAGCCTGCCAAAAGTGATAAGCTGAGAGTTGCCCAGGGCTAAAGGAGGGGGAGCTACTGTGGGCCCCACAAACTCTGGCACCCAGGGAGGAGGCACACAATGCTGCTGGGGGAGGCAGTGTTTTCAGCAAGGCTCCTAGCTCTCAGCTTCAAGCCTGACCTGGGGCACTCAGCCAGGCGAACGGAGATAACTGGGCGTGGCTTTTCTGGAGTCTTGCTCAGCATTGCTGGGCAGCAAGTGATGCATCAACTCTGTGCTGGCCTCCACCCCAGAGGTGGCTGCATGGGGGGTTCCGCTCTTCCTAGTTTCAGGGCTGTGATGCCATCTTGTCTCTCCCTCTCAGGGTTACCCCGGGCAGCAGTACATCCAGGGGGCCCAGTACCCCACCCAAGCTGCCCAGTATGCTCCTAGCGCGCCCCAGCCATCTGCACCATCCCCCTCATACCCTGGTCACAGGATGCCCATGCAGCAAGGAATGGGCCAGTACCTCTCCGCCTCTGTCTCCGCCGGACCATACTACAAGGTACCTAACTGTCAGGGTGACGCTGCAGAGACTGTATAGGGGGATGGTGTTGGGGAGCATTGTACGAGGTGGGGTACAGGCAGCCTCCACTGGGGGAAGCACATTGTCTTTGTAGATTGCTTGGGGGGAGTTACTTTGGACCGTCCTCCACACACCTTTAACCTTTATTAACACTCCCCCCCCCCCCAATTGCTCCAGTGCCCCCTCTTCCAGGAGCTCCTGAGGAGTTAACCCTCTGTCTCCCGCAGCTGAACCCCATTGTAGAGAGGGCCCAATGGGCTTTTCTGAGGTCACCCAGCAAGGCAGAACTGGGAAAAGAACCCAGGAGTCCTGGTTCCCAGGCTCAAGCTTTAGCCCGAAGACCATCCTCCCCTGCATCCCATGGCTCCTGCCTGTACCCCTGACCCATCTTGCTGCCTACACCCTGAGACGAGCCCCCCCCCCGGGATGGGGTGAGGGGGCCAGTCCATGATGGACAGTCTAGCGGGTCTGGGGTGGGCTGAAGTCTGAGGACTGGGATGCTCCTCTGACGCTGTGCCTTGGGGTCATCTTCTTTCCAGCCGACTGACCAGTTCAATGGGCAGAATGCCAGCTTCACCAGCTACAGCCAGGCCTCCATGAACGGGGTGAGTCACTGCACCGAGGGCCAGCCCTGGCATCTCCCTGCTCTGGGAACTGAGGGGCAGCCAGGCCTGCTTTGCGCCCAATACTCTGTTCGCTCTGCCTCCCCTGGTACTGCCCCTGCTCTGCACCCCCAACCCCAGTACTGCTTCCCAGTACTATGCCCGCTTTGCCCTCTGGGTACTACCACCCTAATTTGGTACCTCCCAGTCCTGCATCCCCTCTGTCCCCCAGCATTGCCCTCCCAGTACTGTGTCCGCTCTGCTTCTCCTGGTACACCCGCTCTGCCCGCCAGTAGCACACCAGTCCTGTCCCCCTGGAACTACGCGCGCTCTGCCCCCCAGGTGCTACCACCCAATACTGCCCCGAGTGAGGAGGATTTGCTGTCCCAAGGGGCATATTTTTTCCAACCCCGAGCCCCCTGGCACATCTAGTGGGCTGCTCATGGGCATGCCAAGTAACTTCCAGAGGCACTGGTAGCTCTCCCTGCGCTCCAGGGGTCTCCCAGCCTCCCCCTTTCCTTGGCATCTTTGCCCAGAGGAGCAGGCCCCTACTCCCCTCCCGCTTGCCCCATATCTCCTGTTTCCCTCTTAGTCCCTAAGGGGATGCACCCCCTGTGCTAAAGGTCGGGTTCCCCCAAAGGCTGGGGACAGCCACGATGTGTATGTCTCCCTGCAGCCTGGCCGGTCTGTGCCTGGCTACCCCAGCTCCCCGCTGCCCGGGAACCCCACGCCCCCCATGACGCCCGGAAGCACCATCCCACCATACATGTCCCCGGGGCAGGATGTCAAGTCGCCCTTCCTGACGGACATCAAGCCCAGCGTCAGCTCCCTGCACCCGTCGCCTTCAGGTGAGTCTCACCTGCAGGTCTTTGGGATCCGGCCCGGGAGTCTGAAGCAGAGGAGTGCCTTCCCCACCAGCTGGTCCACCCGGGCCCATCATCCATGGGCTGGTCCACCCGGGCTACAGGAAGCGTGGGGGGATGAATTCAGGGCAGGAGGAAACCCAGCAGCTCCATGCGGCCTCGCTAAATGTGGGCACAGCAGCCCCCCATCCACAGGGCAAGGGGGAACAGCACAAGGGTCTGTCTCTCTGAGCCGGGATGGAATTTGGGGGGCATGGCCCCTGTAGTGGGGGATGGAACACTGGGGAGCTGGGGGTTCCATGGCAGTTGGGGAGGTGGAATCGGGTCGGGGGAGGGGTGTCTGGGACGCCACCCAAAGACGGGAGGACAGGGCACTGCCCCCAACCATGTTTGGGAGAGGAAGAAGGGGCAGGGGGGTCCAGGCCAGCCCCATGGCCTGGCGCCCTCTGCGGCTGGTGCCCGTGGTGCTGCAGGTGCAGTGCCTGCCGGTGCCTATGGCCCTGCACCGCTGGCCCATCCCCAGCCTGAGCCCTCCTTCCCCCACCACAGGCAACCCGTGCGAGGAGCTGCGCCTGACCTTCCCCGTGCGGGACGGGGTGGTCCTGGAGCCCTTCCGCCTCCAGCACAACCTGGCTGTCAGCAACCACGTTTTCCAGCTCCGCGATTCTGTCTACAAGACACTGATGCTGAGGTGAGGCCTCCCCCGCGGGGCTCCACTCACAGCTCCCCTCACCGCTAGCGCTGGCAGTCCCCCCAGTTCTGCTGGGGTCCTCGTTGCACTGGCCTGGCCGCTCTCACACCCGGCCCTCCTGGCTGTGGAGCAGCTTTGGCCTCCCCATAGGGGCAGAGATTCCAAGCCTCCCCACAGCTGGGTCTGCCCCTTTGCCCACCCTCCAGTCCAGCCGTCACCCTCTGGTCCCTCCATCCCAAGGCACTGCCCTCTGGCCCCTTCATAGCTGGGATCCCCGCCGCTGAGTCACAGCCCCGTCTGCCTTCTCTCTACCAATGGAGAGAACCTGGCCGATGCCGTGCCCCTGGCCCTGGAGCTACCCTGAATCCCTGTTCCACGGGCTCCTAGCCTATCTCCCTCTACACCCCCCTCGGCTGTCCAAAGAACTCTCCAGGGTCACTCACCCAGCTTTCCTCCTGCCCAAGGCCTGACCTGGAGCTCCAGTTCAAATGCTACCACCATGAGGACCGACAGATGAACACTAACTGGCCGGCCTCAGTCCAGGTCAGTGTCAATGCTACGCCCCTGACCATCGAGCGGGGTGACAACAAGACTTCCCACAAGCCCCTCTACCTGAAGCAGGTGTGCCAGCCTGGGAGGAACACCATCCAGATAACCGTCACCGCCTGCTGCTGTGTAAGTGACCTGCACTCCCCTGCCTGCCCAGATCCCAGTACATGCACAAACTGACAAACTCACAGACACTGCCAGACGCACACAAGCGTGTGTGTATGTATATGTGTGCACACATGCTCGCTGTAAAGTTACATCACACCGTGGGCCCAGTCCTGCTCATTTGGCACTGGTGCGACCACTGCTGGAATCCTGTGTCCAGTTTTGGTGCCCACAATGCAGGAGGGGTGTTGATAAATTAGAGGGGCAGAGAAGAACCACGAGAATGATTCAAGGATTAGAAAACCTGCCTGAGAGTGAAAGACTCACGGAGCTCAATCAGTTTAGCTCAACAACAAAAAAAGGCTAACGGGTGACTTCATCCCAGTCTGTCAGTACCTACGTGGGGAACAAATATTTAATACTGGGCTCCTCCGTCCAGCAGAGGAAGGTCTAACGTGATCCAGCGGCTGGAAGTTGAAGCTAGACAAATTCAGTCTGGAAATAAGGTGTAACTTTTTACCAGTGAGAGTAATTAATCAATGGAACAATTTCCCAAAGCTCATGGTGGATTCTCCATCACTGACATTTTTTAAATTAAGGTTGGATGTTTAGCTAAAAGATCTGCTCTGGTCTATTGCCTGGTTCTACTTTTGATTTTTTATCAGAGAAACAAATGCTGAATATTTCCATTCAGCAATGCTGCTGCCACACAACTCATGGGAGTTGTAGTTCATTTTCCTCTTATCCACATTCTACTCTAAGGGCCAGGCTCCCCAGCCACACTCACTTTCCCATGATGCACCACAACCAGGGACTCCCATGAGACCATCACCTGCCTTCATCAGGGGGAGAAACTGGTGCATCATGGGAGATGTAGTCCAGCCCATAGAGAATGAGAGCATGAGGTATCTACAACTCCTATGAGGCACCACAGCAGCATTACCAAATGGAAATATTTTAGTTTTCCGTTTTTTGACGAAAATCCAAGATTTTTCGTGGGAATAAAAACCCATTTCCTGTCCCCGGCCAGTCAGAGACCAGACACCACACACGATCTCTGCCAGGCCAGGAGATGTGGGCATGGCCTCCCAAAGGCACCTGTATATCACAGCATCTGCATGCTCCATCCAGCAGCATCCCAGAGAGGCACCCACCCCTCGCCTATTGGAGACAGTGTGGTCTACTGGTTAGAGCAGAGCAGTGAGATCCCGGAACCCTGAGCTGGAGCCCGGGTTTTAGCAGGGAGGGTGGAGTAAGGGGTAGAGAGGGGGTGGGAACTCACTCCTTAGTTCTGTTCCTAGCTTTGGGAAGGAGTGTGGCCTAAGCAATGTGCACACTAAACTTACCTTCCAGGCTTGCTTAGTTAAAGCATGTTGAGATCCACCATTTAAAGGCACCAGAGAAAGACAAAAGCTTATTAATTGTTGGGATGGTTCCTGACTCCCACCATGCACACCCCCCAACAGAAAATCAAACCCTTACTAACCAAGTTAGCTAGACCAGCAGCATGGCAGCCCCATCCGTTGGAGAGTGAAAGCACGATACAGTGCATCATGGGGTAGGTGGATTGACCTCTGGGGCAGATATTCCTGAAGTCACAGCCTGGACTTTGGGAGGGAGGGGAAGAACCAGAATTGGGTTTCTGTGCTCCCTGGAGCAGATTATGAGAGAGAACCTAAGTTCACAGCTTATTGAACCAAAAGGGACTACTCGGATCGTTTAGGCTGACCTATCACATAACACAAGCCAGAGGACTGCCCTGAATTAATTCCTGTTTGAACTAGAGCAGATCTTTTAGCAGAACATCCAATCGTGATTGAAACCTTGCCAGTGACAGAGAATTCATCCCAGCCCTTGGTCAGATGTTCCAATGGCATATTACAGTAAAAAACACAAAACAAAAAAACCCCAACGCCAAAAAACCCCACACCCCGTGAGAAAAGAATGTTAAGGTTGCAAAGTCAAGTACTCAAAAGCTAGGAAATTCCTCAATGTAGGTTGCCTGTGCACTTTGCTTACACCAGAGGGCAACCCCTTGTCACGTTCTAACCCCTGCCCCAAAGTGTGGGGGTGCTAGAGCTTCTCAGCAAAATGCTTGGAAAAGTTTTTTGACTGTGGGCAAAACAAGGTGTTATTCTCTAGTCTTGGTCTTGGAAACAGTAACAGCTAAAAACGGGGTCTTAGAATGGGAAGTGTCGAGCAACCTTAATTCTAGATGGCCCTACCACTGCCACCCATAATGTCCCCCTGGAAGGGGCTTTGCGTTCAGCTTCCGGGTAGCTGGGAAAGCTCTGCTCAGCCTTTGGGGATGAGATGCAAGGTGGCCCTGACCATGTATACTGGATACAGTTTGTAGCCATGTCATTAGGAGTGCAGGTGGCCATTTAAAAGGGCCAGGGACTCCAGACACACTAGAAGGCTCAACGAGACAGTTCAGCAGAGCCCGTTGGCTGGGATTCTTGTGCAGAGCCCTGGGGATCTACTGGTGCAATAGATGGATGTGGATATGGAAGCCTGGGGGCTCTGTGGGAGAGGCATGGCAACGCTGGTCTGATTTGTGCACACGCGGCCCAGCTAATCTCTCTCCCCTCTTTGCAGTCTCACCTCTTTGTCCTGCAGCTGGTGCACCGGCCCTCCGTTCGGTCAGTGCTGCAAGGGTTAATAAAGAAGCGCCTGCTGCCAGCCGAGCACTGCATCACCAAAAGTGAGTGCCCCCGCTGGGCTACAAGGTGGCTCCTTCAATGTGCCATGAGTTTGGAGGCCTCAGCCCTGTGGGCAGTGCTCCTGGTGGAGCTGCTATGGGTGGGAGCTGGAAGGAGGAACTCCAAGTAGCCCTGGGCTCTGTCTTTCTGGCCATGCCTTGTGGGCTTATATTTAGAGAAAGGGACTGGGAGTCAAGACTCCTGGGTTCTCACCTTGGGCATGCCCCTGCCCTCATCTGTGCCTCAGTTTCCCCACCTGTTAAATGGAGATAATGATACTGAGCTTCCACACAGTCAATTAGTGACTAAGGAGCTTGGAGAGCCTCAGGTGAAAGGCAAAGAGGAGGGCAAGGGGTTAGTAATTAGGGCACCAGTCAGTGCTCCCCCATCCAAGCCCAGCTGGTCTGTTCCTAAGGGCTCTCCCCTCCTGCTGGCTCAGGGGCTCATCGCAATGGGCTAGTGCAGTTCATACACATCTGGGCATCTAACCCTTGACATCCCAATTCACTGTGCCAGGGGTGACATGCATGCCTTTGAGCACCAGGGGGCACCCTAGTGGTGACCAGCACTCCCCCCCCAGCGCGAGTTGCCACCAGCTGACCCATAAGGGTGGCGAGGCCTGGTCCCAGTGCTGCCTGTTAGCTGCACAAGCCTCCCCACTCTAACAAGCCTCCTGCTGGTCTCCCCTCCCAGCCCTGCCATGTGAAGCAGGTCTCCCTAAGGGGTTGGAGTAAGGGGCTGTGCAGCTTCCTGGCAGGCTGGCTCCCCAGGCCTGGAGCTTCCCTCTGCCTGAGCCCAGCTCCCCAGGAAGTAATGGTGCTATTCTCAATGGCCTTTCACTCTCAATACCTAGTAAAGCGAAACTTCAGCAGTGGGACAATCCCAGGGACTCCGGGTCCCAATGGGGAGGACGGCGTGGAGCAGACAGCTATCAAGGTGTCGCTGAAGTGTCCCATCACCTTCCGGAGAATCCAGCTCCCTGCCCGGGGCCATGACTGCAGGCACATACAGGTGAGACTCCCCCCACACTGGCTGAGCTCCCTGCCAGGTGTCTGGGCTCAGGCACATGCTGGGAGGACCAGAAATAAAGGGCTCTGACCAGTGGCAAAGGGACAGAATGGCAGTGAGACCTCCCTGGGAAGACCCTTCTGCCACCTGAGAAGGGGTGGGAGACCCCTCACTGGGGACATTGTAAGGCCAGGCTGCTGGCCCAGTGCCTGGGCTGTCTCTCTCCCTGCCACCTGGAGGCATCACTTTGCTGCCTTCTCCCCTCCACCCCAAGGGTGACTGCTTGTCTCACTTTCTCTCCCTGCTCAGTGCTTTGACTTGGAGTCCTACCTGCAACTGAACTGCGAGAGGGGAACGTGGCGGTGTCCTGTTTGCAAGTGAGTGGTCGTGCTCTGTGGAGTGGGCAGCCCAGACTGACCCCCCCACCCACTCTCCACCCCCTCACACACCAGCTGAACTGCTGTCACGGCGCCATAGCAGAGTCTAGTGCTCAGCAGGGGGCTGAGAAGCTGGAGACCTGGGTTTTACCCGCAGCTCTGCTGCTGGGTGACCTGGGACTTGCCCTCTCTGTGCTTCAGTTTCCCCCTTTGTATAACGGGGATAAAGATACCGACCCACCTTTGTGCTGTGCTTTATGACCCACTCTCAGGGTCCAGAGGGTTTGTGTGGGGAGGGGAGCAGCACTGGGTTCCTCTGGCCGCGGATGCTGTTTTGGATTTGAGTCCCCAGCTCCTACGAGGAGCTGAACGGTGTGACTGGGTCCCCTTCTCAGACCCGTCCCTTGTCTTGTCCTCAGTAAAACGGCCCTCCTGGAAGGACTAGAGGTGGATCAGTACATGCTGGGGATCCTGATCTACATTCAGAAGTAAGTGCCCTGCTTGAGTTCCCGCACTGTGCTGCACTGTTGTGTTTCCTTTTCGCCGTCAGAGGGCAGATGTGTGCCAGAGAGAGAGAGTTGGTGAAGTTAGTGTCTCTCTGGGGGCATAACCTGCTCCCAAAAAGCCAGGCTGATTAGGGGATTTGCCCTGGAGAGCCCTGACCTGCCCTCTGCTCCCTTCCCACCCCACCCCCAGGAGAGGGCAGATGGCGGAGGTGCTGAAGGCAGAATCCCCGTGTTCAGTTGGGGGGACGTCAGGGCAGCACATGACTTGGGTGGGGTCAGTGGGGGCTCCTGGGGAATGGACAGCTATGGGTGGGAGCTCAGGGGATGGGAGAGCTGTGCCCTGGGGGACAGAGCACCTTGCAGTGCTCTCTAGAGACCCCTGCTTAGTGGGAGGGGGCAACAATATGTTTTCCCCAGGGGATCCCAGAACAAGACTGAGCTGAGTGCCGGGCTGTGCCTGTCCCCAGGGCCCAGTGCAGGGTCCCGGCCGCGGTTGGGTGTGTCCAGCTAAAAGTCCCATCTTAGCAGCCTCAGCAGAGAGGGCTGGACACCCCTCCCCTTCCACCCCCAGAGGGGTCCCTCCAGCACAGCCTGAGGCAGGACTGGGGGGAAGGTTGCACCTTGACAAGGGGCAGTCTCTGCAGCTCTTGAGTCAGTCCCTCCCCACGACTAACAGGACAGCCCTGCACTAGAGGCTGGTAGGGCTGGGCCCTGCCTGCAGCCACCCCTTGTACAGGGCCTCCTGCCAGCCCTGCTCCAACACCCCATCTCCCCACAGCCCTTGCCATGCCAGCCCTGCTCTGCTGACTCCTCTGCCCAGCTAAACCCAGGGACTTCAGGGAACAGGTCCAGCCCGCCCCCAGGAAGAGAGAGGGCGGCTCCAGATCAGGGGCTAATGCAGCTCCCAGCACAGGCGACGGGTCCCTGGAGGGCTTTGCCAGGATGCACCCCCCCATGCTCCTCCCTCACGCACCCCTCTTGAAAAGCTGCCAAGCCCAGGACTGCTGCGGCAATAGCCCGGTTGCCCCAGGCTGACTGATGTTAGGGGCCCTGGCGGTGCCAACAGATGTGAGAGCTCTGCCCACCCTGACCTGCCCCTCTCTGCCCACCCAGCTCCGACTATGAGGAGATCACCATCGACCCCACATGCAGCTGGAAGCCAGTGCCCATCAAGCCCGACATCCACGTCAAGGAGGAGCAGGACGGCCCTGTGCTGAAGCGCTGCCGGACCATGAGCCCCACTCACATGGTGATGCCCAATGTCATGGAGATGATCGCCGCCCTGGGCCCCGGCTCCTCACCGTTCACGCCCCTGCAGCCCCCGCCCACCAGCGGCAGTGCCAGTGACTACAGCAGCCAGAGTGCGTGACCAGGGGCGGGAGGGGGGCTGGGCCTCTGAGCCGGGGGGAAGAGAAGGGGGTCTCAGGTGGGGGCGGGCAAAGGGACAGGGAATAGGGCCTTCAGGTGGGGGGGCAGGGAATGGGGCCTTTGATGAAGGAGTGGACTAGGCATCAGGAACGGGGGCCTCTGACCAGAGGGAGGGGACAAAGAAGGGTCTCCACTGGCTTCCTTGGGGAAGCGGGCAGGGCAGGGTGGCCCAGAGGACCCTGCTGCTGATGAAGTGCAGGGAGGTGCCTGGAGCTGAGTGTGCCCACTCACACATGTGACAGGATTCTCAAGGAACTGCCCATGGGTGTCCTCCCAGCGTACCCTTCCCCGCTCTGACACACCTGGCTCTGCTCTGACCGGGTTTTCTTTTGCAGGTTCCAGCTTCTCTGGCCCTGGCAGTTTCCCGGACTCGTTCCCTCCCACAAACCCCGGCACCCCGACGTTAAATGAATTCACGCCGGGGCCTCCCCCCATCTCCTACCAGTCGGACATTCCCAGCAGCCTCCTGACCCCCGAAAAGCCACCAGCTCCCTCCATCACCGGACAGGTCAGATGGGCTTCCCTGGAGGGGGTAAGGGTTGTGTGTGTGGGAGAGGGGTGCTCTCCCTGTGGCTTAGGTGACAACCACTTCTGTCTGTGGCAGCTGGTCCTCCCAGGCTCTTGAGTAGTGCAGCTGGCAGGATGCTGTGCTTCCTCACTAGTGTTTGTGACAACTCACGGCTGGTTCGCTGGGTATGCCCGGGGCTGCTTGGTGGCATGTTGCCTTGGCCAATAGCATTCTGTCCTTTGATCAGTGGCTTTCTGAACCAGGCATGGTTATTTGCCATCTGGTGCAGGAGAGCCAGAACCAAGGCCCAATCCCCAGAAGTTCGTGAGTGAGAGAGCACCTCCCGGTGGGGAGCATGCAGCACTGTACCTCGCGTCACCGAGGCCCGTACCCCACAGGGGGCAGTGTGGCAGGCTCTTCAGGAAGGTGGGAATGCAGGGGCACCATTCTGTCTGCTCACATCAGCTGTAAAATACCAGGCTCCAAAAGGGCAACGGGTGGTTGTGAGGGGCGTGTGGGGCAGGGTGCGTGTCAGTGGCATGTTTGTGGGGGTGTTAAGGGGGCATGTGTGTATGCTGGGTGTTTGTATGGCCCTGGGTGTGACCCTGGGGTCCTGCTTCAGGCCTGGCCACTCCACAGCTCAGAGAATGGTTTCTCATCACCGGATTTTCTTCCTCTCTCTCAGATGCCTCCATCTGGCAGGATAGACCCATCCCACAACCCTGTACAGCAGGGGCTTCATAACCCCAACCTCAGCAGCCAGTCGGGACAGCAGCTCCATCACCGGAACCCTCCCCCCCCGCAGTCCCGGCAGCCCATTGGGCAGGCGGGATCCGGGGGTCCGGCGCATGCAGGGGATCTTGCCTTTAACCCTGGGCCTGGGATGGTGGGGCAGCCAGTCATGCCGGGAGCTGGGGAAGGGCCGGAGCCTTCCCTCGATGTAAGTAAACTGACCCTTCCTGACCGTGCCCTGTCCAGCTCCAGGGGGTTGTTTGGGGGGCTGCATTCCCCCCCACACCCCCACACACTGAGTCTTTTTCTCTAAGCAGGGCAGGGGAAGCCCTGAGGGATCGGTCTGCACTAGTTGCAGGGACCTTCCGAACTGAGGCTCAGATCTGTGATTAGCCAACAGTGCCTGGGCCCGTTGCTGGCTGAGCCCACTGGCTCCCAGCTCCCACGCACTCTGCGGATGGGGTCTGAGAAACTTGTATGCCAAGAAGCCCAGCTCAGTACCCCCTGCTGTCAGAAGGGAAATCCCCACATGCTCAGAGCCTTTGCCCTAGGGCAGGAGGGCTGCAGGGACAGGTGCTCTTCAAAGTTCCCTCGCACCACCTAAGGCAAGTCAGTTTCAGTGCCAGCAGTACGTGAGGCGACGATGCAGCCAGCTTCATGGCCGACTCCCTTGGACTGCCCTAGCTCGATGGATCAGCCCCCACCTTGCAGCAGGGTGAGCTGGAGGTGTGAGACTCCGAGTCGCGCCCTCCAGGAGTGCAGTCACGTGCCTACACCACACAGCCCCTGCGGAGGGTATGGTTCGTTCCCACGTGGTCTGGCTCCCACCAGCTTCCCCGGAGGCTTCCTGGCTGCAGGGCTTATGGCCTAAGGCTGAGTAGGCGTAATCCCCACCACCCTCTTGCCTGGAGTGCAGATGGTCTTGGGTCGGGAATGAGGCTTGATCCTCATTCCATCCCCCCATCCCGTTCTTCTGGGACATTCCCTGTCGGACTCTTCTGGGCAGTAGGTCAGGGGTTTGAGCTCCGCTCAGCTGTTGCCCTGCATTAGAGGCCTGGGGGAAGAGGAGGCGTGCCTTTGGCCAGTGCTGTCCTCATGCTGTTTCCTTTGTGCATTAGAGGCGTGGGGGAAGAGGAGGCGTGCCTTTAGCCAGTGCTGTCCTCATGCTGTTTCCTTTGTGCATCCCCCTCCTATGTCTGCTCAGAGACCCCCGGGCATTGGTGAGGCTCCCACCCCATGGGCGCTGTGCTGTCTCAGGCCTCCAGCCAGGGCTAATCCCACTTTGCCCAGCCAGCTGAACCCGGAACCATCTGCCTCGGCTGGAACTTCCTGTTGCCTTCCCCCGCCACAGAAGGTGTCTCATTTGCGCACTCTCAGCAACACTGTGGGGCTCGGCTCTTGGCTTCTGCCTGCCCCAGACGCGTCATCACTCCAGAGATCCGTGCCCCAGCAGGGACTTGGTTCTCCCCAGCCCTGCAGCACCACGTGCCGCTGTTCATACTGGTGCACGGTGGGTGTGAAACATCCTCACTCTGAACTAGGAGCCCCCGGGGCTTGGGAGTCTCCCTTGCCCCTTGCCGGGGAGGAACTGCCAAGCACATCAGCTGCTGGATCTAGCTGAGGATCGAGTTGCCCCTTCTCCCTCTTTGCTGGGAGCTGACATTGTCTTCCCAGGGGGCTGTGACTGGACATGGGGATCGTGGTGTTAGTGGGGAAGGTCCCAGCACTGGGGGAATATGATGCCCCCACCCTCCGGCTACAGATCTCCCTGCAGGAGAGTTTGCAGCTGCTGGCTATTTTGGGGGCTGACAGATAAAAAAGTAACCCTTCCACATGGCCTGTGTGGGGCAGGGACTTGGAGGCTGCAGCCCCTCTTCCCAGCCCATCCCCCTCTGCTCCATGGGTGTTCAGCTAGCAGTTACTCCTGCTGGGTTTTCAAAACCAGGACAAAAAAACACATTGAACGGCCACGCCTGGAGCAAACTGGGCAACACTGGCTCACCTCAGCTCTCTGGGCATCCTCAGGCCCTCGCACCAGCTGTTGTCTGACATGCCTGGCTGGGTGAGATGGGACCGAGATGGGTAGTGTTTCATAGCCTGGGGAGGAGATCATGGCATGGCCCCAACAGAGGGCTGGGGGGCAACTCCCAAATTGTGGAGCCCAGTGCTGTGCCTGATCAGAAGCTGGTCTCTCCATGTGGGAATGCAAGAGTGGAGAGGGGATAGCCCGGAGCTTGGCTTTATGGAGAGGATAGGTCACCTGCAATCAGTGATCTGTTCTAGAGCCAGAGCTGGAGTCAGGGCTCCTGGGTGCTGCTCGCAGCAGGGAGAAGGCCGTGCCCTGGGGGGTTGGGGCAGGGGCTGAAGTCAGGGTTCGTGGGTTCTTTTGTGGCTGTGCCATTTACTTTCTCCCCTTGTCCAGAGCAGCGCCCTCAGCTCCGGCTTTTCTCCAGGGGGCTGGGCAGGTTGTTGCTGGCCGTGGGCCACCTACATGGCACTCCCTGGGCACAGGGTGCCCTAGTAATTTCATTCTGTTTGTTGCCCTCAGCTTCTTCCCGAGCTGACGAACCCTGACGAGCTGCTCTCCTACCTGGGCCCACCAGATCTCCCCAACAACAGCAATGACGACCTGCTCTCCCTGTTTGAGAACAACTGAAGCCGTACCCGGTGAAATGCAGCCACCAGGCCCAGAGGCCCTCCACACCCCCATCCTTGCCTCCACCCTGAGGCACCTCCACACTCACCCATCCCACAGCTTTCTAGACACGCGCCTCTCCTCTGCACCGGGCAAGGACTCCTTTGTCTGAACTCTCAGAACCTGCCCCACAAAAGGGACCCTGGAGCAGCTGGCTCTGGAAATCCTTCCCACGCAGTGGAGATGTCCCTCTCAGACGGTTCCTGGAGCCTCCGTGACATAGACGCACTCGGGCTATGCTAATGTGCCAGGTCACCAACATGCCGGGTGTGCTGGCCCCACTGATCAGCCCTGGAGGTGTCCTACAAACCACAGCTGGAGAAGAACAAGGCGGAGCAACTTCTTGGAATGGGGCTTCCTCTGCTGGCTCTAGAATGCTCAGCTCTGCCTGGGCACATGGAGGTTCAGGATGAAGACTGGCACCTGTGTGTACATTGCCGCACAACCTAAGGCCACCGGGGACACATGCTGAAGAAAGGCAGCGAACCATGGAGCCCAGTATGAGGCTCAGTCCCAGGGCCTGGCGAAGCAGACACAGCATTGCCCTTGAAGACCTCCAGAAGCTGTCTCCACCCATCCCAGCTCCTAGATGGGCACAGCACCCAGTTGGCTTCAGGCCCCCCCAGTGCTCATGTGCTCTGGCTCCCTACCATCTCTGGGAGCCAGCATCCTGGATGTGTCAGTACTTCACAGGAGCATGCCTGGAGATCCACCTCCGCTCCCTGCTCTGTGGGGTTGGGCCAATGATGAATTGCAGTGGAAGAAAGGGGGAGTCTGAAAAGCCTCTTCCATTCCTTCCCCCGGGACTGCAGCAGAAGCAGCAAAGGAACTGGCTCCATTGGAAAGACCAGCCAGTTCCCCAAACACACCCTGACAGACTGACTCCATCTGGTGATGGGTCATCTACAAGCACAACGATGTACATAGTTCAAAAACACTAAAGGAAAGAAACCCAATATATTTAAAGGCACGTGTGTCGCTCTGGTGTCTAGTTCTGGGGTCCCCCAGCCCCGGGGCAAGAGTCCTCTGTATAAATGTGCATATGCGCCCTAGTTTGTAATATAGACCATTCCATGTGGGACCACCCCTGCCACCAGAGACCTGCTGCTTCAGCCAGAGCGGGACCCCTTCCCTCATGTTTGAAATGTCTGTCCCACCCAAGCAGGGTCTGGCTGCTGAGGATGGGAACACGCCCAGCCAGCCCTGGAAATCAAAGCGAAGAGTCAGTCCAAAATGCTGTGGTTTTGGAACCTGCCACTCCACCTCTCCACCCCCAGTCAGCACCTCTCTCCAACCAAGGCTGAATTCAGTGTAGCGGAGAGGGGGTCCCAGAGGCGGCCTGACTGGGGAAAACCAAACCATTATCCCTGGCCGGATTTCTTAGGATGGAGTCCTGTGTCTGAGTGCTGATGACTGTTTAGTTTTGTGTATCCTGTTTCATTATCGCTATATATTAAAGCATTTCTTTTTGGTGGGGCTCACTGAATCACCTAGGTGCTGTTGGTCTGAAATGGTGAGCGTGTGTTACGAGATCAGGGTGGGAGCAGGTCAACGGATGAGAGGGCTCCAGACATCTCTGATCAGGAAGTGGCTTTAACATGGAACACCAGAGAGAGAAAGAAATAGGTGTAGAGGGGGGCAGGTTCCAAATCTCTCCTCTCATCCTGGCCCCCTGCTAAGAAGATGCAGAGTCCAGTTTACACATAGCCCTGCTAGCAGATGCCAGAAATGTGGGCTAATTTACTGCTGAAGCAGCCACGGGAGATGCTAAGTGGAACGGCATCCCAAGTTGCAGTGATCCTGATTGATTGGTCAAACCAAAATCTGGTGGGATGGGAAGTCAGTGCAGTGGGGCCAGTCCAGCCAGGAGAACTGGATGAGGAGGAGATGGTGGCTGGGGTGTTACACAGCAGTGGTATCTGCAATGCCAATGAAGGACAACCTGACCCTGAAGGGTTTACCGGGGAAATTCCTTGAATATTTTTTGCCAATATCCTAATTTCTTGGTCCAGGTATTAGAATCATAGAATATCAGGGTTGGAAGGGACCTCAGGAGGTCATCTAGTCCAACCCCCTGCTCAGAGCAGGACCAATCCCCAACTAAATCATCCCAGCCAGGGCTTTGTCAAGCCTGACCTTAAAAACCTCTAAGAAAGGAGATTCCACCACCTCCCTAGGTAACCTATTCCAGTGAAAAAGTTTTTCTTAATATCCAACCTAAACCTCCCCCACGGCAACTTGAGACCAGTACTCCTTGTTCTGTCATCTGCTACCACTGAGAACAGTCTAGATCCATCCTCTTTGGAACTCCCTTTTAGGTAGTTGAAAGCAGCTATCAAATCCCCCCTCATTCTTCTCTTCTGCAGACTAAACAATCCCAGTTCCCTCAGCCTCTCCTCATAAATCATGTGCTCCAGCTCCCTAATCATTTTTGTTGCCTTCTGCTGGACTCTTTCCAATTTTTCCACATCCTTCTTGTAGTGTGGGGCCCAAAACTGGACACAGTACTCCAGATGAGGCCTCACCAATGCCGAATAGAGGGGAATGATCACGTCCCTTGATCTGCTGGCCATGCCCCTACTTATACAGCCCAAAATGCCATTAGGCTTCTTGGCAACAAGGGCACACTGTTGATTCATATCCAGCTTCTTGTCCACCGTAACCCCTAGGTCCTTTTCTGCAGAACTGCTGCCTAGCCAATCAGTCCCTAGTCTGTAGCGATGCATGGGATTCTTCCGTCCTAAGCGCAGGCCTCTGCACTTGTCCTTGTTGAACCTCATCAGATTTCTTTTGGCCCAATCCTCTAATTTGTCTAGGTCCCTCCGTATCCTATCCCTACCCTCCAGCGTATCTACCTCTCCTCCCAGTTTAGTGTCATTTGCAAATTTGCTGAGGGTGCAATCCACGCCATCCTCCAGATCATTAATGAAGATATTGAACAAAACCGGCCCCAGGACTGACCCTTGGGACACTCCACTTGATACTGGCTGCCAACTAGACATGGAGCCATTGATCACTACCTGTTGAGCCCGATGATCTAGCCAGCTTTCTATCCACCTTATAGTCCATTCATCCAGCCCATACTTCTTTAACTTCCTGGCAAGAATACTGTGGGAGTCCATATCAAAAGCTTTGCTAAAGTCAAGGAATAACATGCCCACTGCTTTCCCCTCATCCACAGAGCCAGTTATCTTGTCATAGAAGGCAATTAGGTTAGTCAGGCATGCCAAGGTCCAGACTCCAGAGAAAATAATACAAAAATAATAACGATAAGTAAATAAAAAGATTTTGGGGTCTGTTCAGAAGCATCTGGCAGTCTAGCTTTGGCCTGTGGGCCGCCTAGTGACTCCCCCTGGGCTAGAAGAAATGAAAGGTAACGAAGTGACAGGTCAGCTCCCCACCTGGGGGGGGAGTGGGAATGGAAAATCAGGGGAAGGTGACTTGGTACTGACAGGCTGGGACCTACCTGGGGAGATTTTGGAGCGCAGAGAGCTCTCCAAGGCAGAAAGAGAGCCAGGGGCTGGAAGCTGAAGCTTTTAGACTATAATTAAGATGCCAGTTTTTAACAGTGGGGAGTAATTAACCACTGGACCAGTTTCCTAGGGATGTGGTGGATTCCCCATCGCTTGTAGTCTTAACAAGGTGTGTCTTTCTAAAAGATATGCTCAAACTCAGAGGCATGGACTGGATGCAGGAATCCTTGGGTGAGGTTCTTGGGTCTGTATCTTGCAGGAACTAGTTTAAATTATCATAATGGTCCCTTCTGCTCATAAGACCTCTAAATCTTCCACCCTCAAACCAACCCAGAACTGTTTGTGGGGGGTTTTAACTGCCCTGGTATTTGCTGGATACCAAATAAGTCTCATCTAAGCGACACCAAAAGTTACTTAGAATCCAAAGAGCAAAGAGACCAGTTAATGGGGGAGCTATCCCACTCTGCATCTTTCCAGAAGAGGATCTGACAGAAGGAAAAGAAAGCACGAAGCCCCTGATTTCAGCAGAGCAAGGGATGTGGTCTCTGCCAGCAGCCGTACCAGGACAGTAAGACAGTGGGTTGGAATGAAGGAACCCAGTAAGTGCAAGAGGGCGTATGAAAATCCGACAGTGGGGTAGAAGGCTAGGGAAAGCTGAAAGGCAGCAGTTTGGGAGCAACACAACCACCCTCATCAAAGAAAGCAGGACATGTGGAGCAAGAGGCAGCCAATGCAGCTGCCCCAGGAGCTCGAGATCCAAGGTGGGCAAAAGAAGATAGCCTGCAGGTCAGAGGTGAGGGCACCCGTGGGGCCTCAAGAGTTAATGCTGCCAAAGGGTTTACTGGGAATAAGAGCTCGGAATCCTAAATCTACCAGCAAGAAAGGCGGGGGGGGGGGGGACCGGGACTGAAATGGCTGCAAATAGCGCTCTTGAGAGACACCATCCTCAGCGAGAAAAGCAATCCCTTTGAGCTCAGGCATTTTGGAGGAGCCTCTGCTCCAGCGTGGTCGATGTCCCCACAGTTTACCCTGGGCCAGTGCAACACAACGCTGGGGGGATTAAAGGGATTAGCAAATTGTCCTGCTGACGAACAGTGCTGGGAGGGGTCCAAGGGCTGAAGCAAAGCAAACATGGTTCCAGCTTTTACAAAGAGAAGAGGGAGCAGGGAAGGAGCACACTCCCAGTCTGACATGCTGGGGCAGCTGGGGAGACATACAAGCAGAGGGATTGCCAGGCTGGGCCAGCTAGCCCAGTATCCCAGCTCCCACTCCCAGCAGCTGCTTGAGAGGAAGGTGGGAGAACCTATGCACTAGCAAATGACGGATAATACACCCCACACTGGAGTGTTCTCTTAACCCCAGCTAGAGACTGATTTAAATCCTCAAGAAGAAGGGTAAGGATTTACTGTTGTAACTGGAGATGCTTGTTCTTCAGATAAACATCCGTTCCCGCTCTGCGGCTCACTAAATTCATCAAAGAGAACATAAGAATGGCCATACTGGGTCAGACCAAAGGTCCATCCAGCCCAGTATCCTGTCTACCGACAGTGGCCAATGCCAGGTGCCCCAGAGGGAGTGAACCTAACAGGTAATGATCAAGTGATCTCTCTCCTGCCATCCATCTCCACCCTCTGACAAACAGAGGCTAGGGACACCATTCCTTACCCATCCTTGCTAATAGCTGTTAATGGACTTAACCTCCATGAATTTATCCAGTTCTCTTTTAAACCCTGTTATAGTCCTAACCTTCACAACCTCCTCAGGCAAGGAGTTCCACAGGTTGACTGTGCGCTGAGTGAAGAAGAACTTCCTTTTATTTGTTTTAAACCTGCTGCCCATTAATTTCATTTGGTGGCCCCTAGTTCTTATATTATGGGAACAAGTAAATAACTTTTCCTTATTCACTTTCTCCACACCACTCATGATTTTATAGACCTCTATCATATCCCGCCTTAGTCTCCTCTTTTCCAAGATGAAAAGTCCTAGCCTCTTTAATCTCTCCTCATATGGGACCTGTTCCAAACCCCTAATCTTTTAGTTGCCCTTCTCTGAACCTTTTCTAATGCCAGTATATCTTTTTTGAGATGAGGAGGCCACATCTGTCGGCAGTATTCAAGATGTGGGCGTACCATGGATTTATATAAGGGCAATAAGATATTCTCAGTCTTATTCTCTATCCCTTTTTTAATGATTCCTAACATCCTGTTTGCTTTTTTGACTGCCACTGCACACTGCATGGACATCTTCAGAGAACTATCCACAATGACTCCAAGATCTTTCTCCTGATTACTTGTAGCTACATTAGCCCCCATCATATTGTATGTATGGTTGGGGTTATTTTTTCCAATGTGCATTACTTTACATTTATCCACATTAAATTGCATTTGCCAGTTTGTTACCCAGTCACTTAGTTTGTGAGATCTTTTTGAAGTTCTTCACAGTCTGCTTTGGTCTTAACTATCTTGAGCAGTTTAGTATCATCTGCAAACTTTGCCACCTCACTGTTTTCCCCTTTCTCCAGATCATTTATAAAGAAGTTGAATAGGATTGATCCTAGGACTGACCCTTGGGGAACACCACTAGTTACCCCTCTCCATTCTGAAAATTTACCATTTATTTCTACCCTTTGTTCCCGGTCTTTTAACCAGTTCTCAATCCATGAAAGGATCTTCCCTCTTCTCCCATGACAACCTAATTTACATAAGAGCCTTTGGTGAGGGAACTTGTCAAAGGCTTTCTGGAAATCTAAGTACACTATGTCCACTGGATCCCCCTTGTCCACGTTTGTTGATCCCTTCAAAGAACTCTAATAGATTAGTAAGACAATTTCCCTTTACAGAAACCATGTTGACTTTTGTGCAACAATTTATGTTCTTCTGTGTCTGACAATTTTATTCTTTACTATTGTTTCAACTAATTTGCCCAGTACTGACGTTAGACTTACCGGTCTGTAATTGCCGGGATCACCTCTAGAGCCCTTCTTAAATATTGGTGTTACATTAGCTATCTTCCAGTCACTGGGTACAGAAGCTGATTTAAAAGGACAGGTTACAAACCACAGTTAATTGTTCCGCAATTTCATATTTGAGTTCTTTCAGAACTCTTGGGTGAATGCCATCTGGTCCCGGTGACTTGTTCCTGTTAGTTCCAAAACCTCCTCTAGTGACACTTCAATCTGTGACACTTCCTCAGATTTGTCACCTTCAAAAGATGGCTCAGGTTTGGGAATCTCCCTAACATCCTCAGACGTGAAGACTGAAGCAAAGAATTCATTTAGTTTCTCCTCAATGACTTTATCATCTTTAAGTGCTCCTTTTGTATCTCGATCGTCCAGGGCCACCATTGGTTGGTTAGCAGGCTTCCTGCTTCTGATGTACTTAAAAAACATTTTGTTATTACCTTTTGAGTTTTGGGCTAGCTGTTCTTCAAACTCCTTTTTTGCTTTTCTGATTACATTTTTACATTTAATTTGGCAGTGTTTATGCTCCTTTCCATTTACCTCACTAGGATTTGACTTCCACTTAGACTTAGGAGCAGGGGGCTGTGGATCAGGAGTGAGGGACACAGAGCTGGTGGGCGGCAGGACAGGTTTACCAGGGGGCTGTGGGTCAGGGGTGAGGGACACAGAGATGGTGGGGGGTAGAACTGGTATGGGGGGGCTGAGTCAGGCATGAGGGGCACAGAGCTGGTGGGTAGAACTGGTATAGGAGGGGACTATGGGTCAGGAGTGAGGGGCACAGAGCTTGTGAGGGGCAGGACTGGGATAGCAGGGGACCGTGCACTAAGCATGAAGGGCACAGAGCTGGTGGGTGGCTGGGGGTCAGGCACGAGGGGCACAGAGCTGGTGGGGGGAAGAACTGGTATAGTGGGGGGCTGTGGGTCAGCGTTAAGGGGCACTGTCACATGGGCCACAGTGTGCCAGATCCTGCCAGTTCTGCCAGCTAGTAGGAGCAGCAAGTGTTCTCCTCTCCTGAGTGAGGCCTCCAGCCAGTCCCTCGCCCTGGAGGATTTCAGGGGTCCGGCCCCCCTGCGGGCAGGGCTGCTGCCACCCAGCGTAAAATGCGCGTGCAGATCCAGCCATCGCCAGGGAGCGGCTGGCGAAGACGCTTGGGGTGTATCCTGCAGAGAGCAGCCGCGAAGGCCCTCGGTAGCTCCCGTACTGACCCTCTTTGCAGGTATAACCCCCCACCCCCAGCGCGATGGGGGTGCTACAGAGCTAGGCGGGGCGGGGCTCAGGCTGTTACACCCACAGCCTCCGGGTCCTGCACGGCAGGAGGAGCAGCTCTCTGTGGGCGGGCACGCACCCCACTGCCAGGGAGCCCCCGGCTAGACTCTCCCCCTCCCTGTGCTTCCCTCGTGCCCGCTTCTACCCAGCCCCTCCCCGCCGGGCTTCCCCTGCCCCTTCTACCCAGTAACCCACCCCCCCCCACCCAGCCCCGCCCCTTCCTCCGCCGGGCTTTCCCCGCCCCTCTCTCCCCAGACCCCCCCGCCGGGCTTCCCCTGCCCCTTCTACCCAGTAACCCCACCCCACCCCGCCCCTTCCTCCGCCGGGCTTTCCCCGCCCCTCTCTCCCCAGACGCCCCCGCCGGGCTTCCCTGCCCCTTCTACCCAGTAACCCACCCCCCCCTTCCTCCGCCGGGCTTTCCCCGCCCCTCTCTCCCCAGACCCCCCGCCGGGCTTCCCCTGCCCCTTCTACCCAGTAACCCACCCCCACCCCGCCCCTTCCTCCGCCGGGCTTTCCCCGCCCCTCTCTCCCCAGACCCCCCCGCCGGGCTTCCCCTGCCCCTTCTACCCAGTAACCCACCCCCCCCCCCCACCCAGCCCCGCCCCTTCCTCCGCCGGGCTTTCCCCGCCCCTCTCTCCCCAGACCCCCCCGCCGGGCTTCCCTGCCCCTTCTACCCAGTAACCCACCCCCACCCCCACCCCGCCCCTTCCTCCGCCGGGCTTTCCCCGCCCCTCTCTCCCCAGACGCCCCCGCCGGGCTTCCCTGCCCCTTCTACCCAGTAACCCACCCCCCCTTCCTCCGCCGGGCTTTCCCCGCCCCTCTCTCCCCAGACCCCCCGCCGGGCTTCCCCTGCCCCTTCTACCCAGTAACCCACCCCCACCCCGCCCCTTCCTCCGCCGGGCTTTCCCCGCCCCTCTCTCCCCAGACCCCCCCGCCGGGCTTCCCTGCCCCTTCTACCCAGTAACCCACCCCGCCCCTCTCTCCCCAGACCCCCCCGCCGGGCTTCCCTGCCCCTTCTACCCAGTAACCCACTCCCACCCCGCCCCTTCCTCCGCCGGGCTTTCCCCGCCCCTCTCTCCCCAGACCCCCCCGGCGGGCGGGGCGCCTCCTCCGGCCACAGGCTGCGGGGACGATTGATCGCCGCTGGGGCTTTATCCGGCAGCTGCGGCGCGTTAGCGAGACTGGGCCGAGCCGAGCTCAGCCCCGCCCCTAGTCCGGGGAGAGGCTGCCTCAAGGGGGAGGCCCCAGCACCAGGGACCTCCCTCCCAGGTCTCCCCCACAACCAGACACCCATAGGAGACTCCCCTTCCCAGGGCTCCCCCTCCCTGCTGGACCCCCCTGTTGGGGATCCACCTCCAAAGGTCCCCCTCCTTACCAGGTATTCCCCACCCCCTTCTCTGCCAGGCCCCCCAGGGTTCCCCTCCCCCAGCCATATAAATAACATTGTAAGGGGACAAAATATCTGGCAGTAGAGTGTAGTGGTCCGAGCATAGGCCTGGCCTCCAGCACTCCCACCCCTGGCCCTGGCCAAGCCTCTGTGTCTATGCAGAGGGGGCACGTGAAGCTTCATTGAGGTGCAATGTGCTAGAAGGGCTAGTTGAGTGCACCCTGACCACTTCACAGTTGGAATCCATAGCTCTCTGCATCTTCCCTGCCATGCTGCAGAGTCCTCCTACCCACTAGCCATGCCTCTAACAACCCACCACAGATCCTCTGCACTTTCTCCTGCAGGAGCTGGGGAACCAGCCCATCCCTTCACAAACCCTGGGCAGGTGCCTTTTGCAGGGTGCTCCGCCATCTCCCCCAAAGCAGCATCTTCAAGCCTTGCCCTGTTTCTTCCTTTCTGCTCAAGCTTGCAGAGATCTGTGCACTTTGCAGAGCCCTTTCTCCCCAGGGCAGGGTGATGAGCCGCTTACCCAACCTGCTGGGGAGAGGAAGCCTGGCTCTAGACATACTTTCCCAATTTGTTTTTCAAGTTACTGCTTGTGCTTTGGCATGACAAATCCAAGTACGCTCTCCTGCTTTGATGACTATCTTTGTGGGAAACTGAGGCAAAACCCCTGCAGTCTGCGCCACACTCGGTACAGGCGGCCAAGGCAAAATCCTCACTGCCAACACCTGGGGGTGTCTATTGGGTGTCCAGTGCTGCAGTAGCTCAGCCTTTCGGTCTTCAATGTATTTATCCTCACACACCCCTCCATGGCAGGACCTGTACCCCATTGTATTGATGTGGAAACTGAGGCACAGGGCTGCTAAGTGATTTGCCCACCATCACACAGGGACTCTGGGATTTAACCCATTCTAGTCTATTCTCCCCCCCACCCCCGTGCCCTGCTTAGTGATTGCCAGGGCGTGGCTCATTGCTGGCAGCTTCCCCCTCCGCATTGATCCCTACAGTTACTAGGCTGCAGCCCTTGAAATGGGTCCAGGTGGTTTGGAAAATCCCATTATGCTTCCCCGCCCCTTCCCTCTGCCACAGGGAGAATAGAACAGTCCACCTCACTCACCTGGTTGTTCCCTCACACACCTGCAAGAGGGGAGCAGATGGAGCAGAGATTTTTTCAACCCATTCCTGGTCCGGTCTAGGCTGTGGAGTGGGGGAAGAAATGTACCAGCTACACTGAGCAAACCAAAAGCATAAGTCACAGGGGCAGCGCGTGCTACCCTCCGGGCCAACACCAGACTCTAAGCTGTTCTCTGTGTTACACTGATGTCAAGTGTTTCATAGGAAAATTTGCAGGTAACAGTCAACTGTGGATTTAGCACTTGTGCAGCCCTAGTGTGCAAAGCCTTCGGCATATGTACAGGGCCCGCGCAGGGTCAGCTTCCCCAGGCATGGCCTTGCCAGCTGGCCCCAGCCCTGATTTGGGCAGGGGCCACAGGGGCATTTCACCCCATGTTCCTTGTGGTTCTCAGCCTCTCCACTGAGCCTGCCCCATTAGTGCAAAATGTGGAGGAGAGACCCATCAAACTTATCTCACATAGTCCCCCCTCCAGAAAACTTCTAGGAGAGGGGAACTGAGCGGGGCTGAAGTTGGACTGGTTAGAAGCTTTGGAGCTCAGTGCACTTTCCCCAGGGCTTCCGGGTGCCGGGGAAGGGAAATGCTCTGTTATGTAGCCCTGTGTGACACACCTACCAAGTGTGTGAGTGTCACATGAGGGTCATGACACTGGACAGGGCTGCCCTGAAACCCGACTCTCCCTCCAGCCTGGGTTATCTCACTCAGATCTAGGTTTCCACCCCGTGTAGCATTTACCCAGGGAGGAGTTTCAGAGTAGCAGCCATGTTAGTATGTATCTGCAAAAAGAACAGGAGTAATTGTGGCACCTTAGAGACGAACAAAAGTTATTTGAGCATGAGCTTTCGTGGGCTACAGCTCACTTCATCGGATGCATAGAATGGAACATACACAACTATTTCACCTTTGGGGACAATGTATACCTTTAAGTCAGTGGCACTGCTATGGGTACCCGCATGGCCCCACAGTATGCCAACATTTTTATGGCTGACTTAGAACAATGCTTCCTTAGCTCTCGTCCCCTAATGCCCCTACTCGCACTACATTGATGACAGCTTCATCATCTGGACCCATGGAAAAGAAGCCCTTGAGGAATTCCACCGTGATTTCAACAATTTCCATCCCACCATCAACCACAGCCTAGACCAATCCACACAAGCGGTCCATTTCCTGGACACTACTGTGCTAATAAGCGATGGTCACATAAACACCACCCTATACCGGAAACCTACTGACCGTTAGACTTACCTACGTGCCTCCAGCTTCCAAACCAGGACACACCACACGATCCATTGTCTACAGCCAAGCTCTAAGATACAATTGCATTTGCTCCAACCCCTCAGACAGAGACAAACACCTACAAGATCTCTATCAAGCATTCTTAAAACTACAGTACCCACCTGCTGAAGTGAAAAAACAGATTGACAGAGCCAGAAGAGTACCCAGAAGACACCTACTATAGGACAGGCCCAACAAAGAAAATAAGAGAATGCCACTAGCTCTCACCTTCAGCCCCCAACTAAAACCTCTCCAGCGCATCATCAAAGATCTACAATCTATCCTGAAAAATGATCCCTCACTCTCACAGACCTTGGGAGACAGACCAGTCCTCGCTTACAGACAGCCCCCCAACCCGAAGCAAATCCACTCCAGCAACCCCACACCACACAACAAAAACACTAAACCAGGAACCTATCTTGCAACAAAGCCTGATGCCAACTCTGTCCACATATTTATTCAAGTGACACCATCATAGGACCTAATCTCATTAGCCACGCCATCAGGGGCTCATTCACCTGCACATCTACCAATGTGATATATGCCATCATGTGCCAGCCATGCCCCTCTGCCATGTACATTGGCCAAACCGGACAGTCTTTACGCAAAAGAATAAATGGACACAAATCTGACATCAGGAATCATAACATTCAAAAACCGGTAGGAGAACATTTCAACCTCTCTGGTCACTCAGTAACAGTCTTACAGGTGGCAATTTTGCAACAGAAAAGCTTCAAAAACAGACTCCAACGAGAAACTGCCGAGCTTGAATTAATAGGCAAACTAGATACCATTAACTTGGGTTTGAATAGAGACTGGGAGTGGCTGGGTCATTACACATATTGAATCTATTTCCCCATGTTAAGTATCCTCACACCTTCTTGTCAATTGTCTAAATGGGCCATCTTGATTGGGTCATCACTACAAAAATTTTTTTTTCTCCTACTGATAATAGCTCATCTTAATTGGCCTCTTACAGTTTGTATGGCAACTTCCTCCTTCTCTGTATGTATATATATTTATCTTCTTACTATATGTTCCATTCTATGCATCCGATGAAGTGGGCTGTAGCCCACAAAAGCTTATGCTCAAATAAATTTGTTAGTCTCTAAGGTGCCACAGGGAGGAGTGGAAGTCACGTGGGTGATGTCATGTGGCTCAGGCTGGATCCACTCACAAACCTGTGCCAATTTAATGAAAGGGGTGATCTGAAGCCAGTTTAGCTCAACTAGCAGAGCTTTGAGGGTGGAGGCTCTAATATCTGTTTAAACCTTGCGTGGATCAGCAGATCTCTTACAGAGGCAAATGAAGCTAATACAAACCAAGTTGAAGCAGAGAAAGAGTGCCGACGCAGGGGTTTGCACTGATTTAATTGCATTGTTTTTTAAACTGATTTAAAATTAAACCGGTGTAAATCCTCTGTGTGGATTGGAGTAACCTGCGTGGAACCTAGAGTGAGGAGTGAAGGTTGCAGGAGGGAAGAGTTTGGGGGAGGCACTACCAGGCAGTCAGTCTGTGTGCAAATGTCTAGATGTTAGATGCAGTTGCAGCACTTCTTTAAATCACTCTCTGAGCAAAGATCTGGGTTAGTTTTACTAGTGTGGAGACATTTCATGTTACAGGAGACAGGGTGGCAGTGGACAGTGTGATGTAGCAAGGCTGTAGTCCCGCTGAGAGCTGGAAAGCCAGAGGAAGCCCAGCATCCTCATTAGAAAATCCCTTTTGGATTCATTACATCAGAATCCTCTCAGCTGAATGCCCCACCAATATCTCAGTGCCCCCTGCCATCCACGCTCTCTCCTGAACGCCAAGAGAAGTGCTCCTGCCCCTTGTCACTCACTAACAGCCTTCCCCAGTCCTGCTTAGCTTATAGCTCCTGGTAGGGCAGAAAACTGAGTCCTTCCTTCAGGCTAATGAATAATCAGACTATTTGCTTTCAGGGCCTTGCTGTGATCCTGTCTCTATGGCAGAGCCAGGAATAGCCCTCGGAAGGACACCCAGCCTGAGGTAACCCACTTCCACCAGTGACCAGTCCCAGCCCACCACTGGCCTGAGAGGGGCCACCTCGGGCATATCCCCAAAACAGCCACAGTCCCTCCACACACCCATTATGCTCCACCTACCGCGTACAGTGGGCCTGCAGTTCATAAGCCATGGGGAGGCCTGTTGCCAGAACTATGGATTCAGAGGGTGCCCAGGCGTGGAACTGTGGTGTGGTTGTCAGGAGCGGGGTGGAACATAGAATGGAAATACCCAGGGGAGGGGCTGTGGGTCTGGAACAGGGAGCATCTGTGAGAGGAAGCCTGTGCTTGTAATAGCAGGAGTAGCTGTGGGTCAGGATTGAGGGGCACTGATAGAGCTCAGGGTGAATGACAACACTTAAAACAATATCTTTAAAAATCTGCTTCTCCCTCCCTCCCTTTCCACAGCTTCTTTGTGTCACCAGAGTGGGAGGAAGTGCTCTTTCCAGGGAGGATCTTGCTGCAGTGGTGGTCAGAGAGTTGGACCGCCCCTCATTAGAAAGACTCTCTTGGAGCCTGGAACTTGCTCCCCCCCACACTCCAAAATAGCTCGAATTTGGCAACTTTCACTCCAAAAGATGCCTGCTGGCAAGGGTCTTTCGGGAGGGCGGGGGCACACTGCTGAGGTGGTGAAGGGGGTCAGGGTCCTGTGACATCGATGATTTGAAATCTGCTGAGATCGGAGTTAGTTGAACTGTACTGATTGTATAACTACGTTTGTAGCTCACGAAAGCTTATGCTCAAATAAATTGGTTAGTCTCTAAGGTGCCACTAGTACTCCTTTTCTTTTTGCGAATACAGACTAACACGGCTGCTACTCTGAAACCTACCTTTGTCAGGGCGCCCAGAGCCTGTAGCATTTTAAATCTAAATAAACAGAGGGGGCATAACTCTGCTCCTGGCCAGTATGTGAGAGCAGGGCTAGCTCTCCATGAACTCTGTCCCATGGCACCGAGCCCGCCGGAGACCACAGCGATGGGAATTTACTGGTGATTCCCCTGCTTGCTGTGGACTGTATCATTTCCCAAAGCTCCACCCCACTCATGCCTAGTGTGCAGGCCCCCTTGTCCCGGCGCCTTGTTCTCCAAGATGGCTTTCTGCCTTCCCAGTGGTCATTGGCCCTGGGGCTAAGGGAATATCCCTCGAGGGCACTGAAATAGGCTCAGCAAAGACACCACGGCCCTGATCCCAGCTCTGCTTCAGGCTTCCTGAAAAGACCCTCCCTGTGACTCAGTTTCCCAGCCTGTAAAATGGGGCTACACTGCTTCCTTTTGTCCCGGAGGTGTAGCCAGGCTGCTTAAAATGTGAGCTCTTTGAGGCAGGGATAACAAATGCAGTGGTGTTTGTAAAGAGCTTTGAGATCCTGATGCGGAAGGGACTAGGGGAGGGCGAAGGATTAATATTATAAGGTGGTGGTGACAAATCCAGTATGACCATCTAGGCCTGTGTGTTTCTCATTGAGCCTTGCACCAGCCACTGAGAAGGTCGTGGTAGCAGCAGAAGCCAGCCTGCTCCCTTCTGCTCCAAAAGCACAAGGAGAATCTCCCATTAGGTGTTAGCAGTACAGGGCCTCTGACACAGCTGAACAGCTCAGATCCAGCTTTCCCTCATGCACTTATGCCATTCGTAGCCCTTCTCTGACCAGGTGAGGTGGGGTGGTGCTAATGCTCCTAGGTTGTCCCTGGTTATCCCAGGGCTGAACTGGGACAGATTTTCCAGAGTTATGGAAGAGAAGCCAGGAGCCCCAGCTTCCAGCCACAGGCTCTAACACCAGCCTCTGACTGGGCTGCCCCAACGGTCTGATTGTAATGAGGCATGGATGGTCTCCCCAGTCCATGGGATCAGATCAGCTGGCTTCTCACTGTGGCGCCTGCCTTAGGTAAACTGGGCTTATTTAGTCTGCAGAAGAGAAGAGTGAGATTTGATAGCAGCCTTCAACTACCTGAAGGAGGGTTCCAAAGAGGATGGAGCGAGGCTGTTCTCAGTGGTGGAGAGGACAGAACAAGGAGCAATGGTCTCAAGTTGCAGTGGGGGAGGTCTAGGTTGGATATTAGAAAAAACTGTTTCACTAGGAGGGTGATGAAGCACTGGAATACCTTAGGGAGGTGGTGGAATCTCCATCCTTATAGGTTTTTAAGGCCCGGTTGTAAAAGCCCTGGCTGAGATGATTTAGTTGGAGTTGGTCCTGCTTTGAGCAGGGGGTTGGACTAGATGACCTCCTGAGGTCTCTTCCAACCCTAATTTTCTATGATTCAATCTGCCTCCTGAGAGGGGCTGGTGCAACAGCCTCATGCAGTGGCATAAAGGGCAGCTCGGGCCAAAGCCTGGCTTCTAGATCAGATTAAATGCAAACACCAGACACGCACTCACCTGGAAACACACAGCCGAGCTCCTTCCTTAAGCTCCCCCACCCATAACCCACCTTCCCCAGCACTGTGTACGTCCCACCTAGAGATGGGGCCAGACTCTGCTCCTAGTGCCCCCTATGCAAACTGCTGGAGTCTATGGGCCCTCCCTAGGCTCCCCCTCTGATATTGAGGCCATGTGTTGTGGGCTGCCCTGCACCAGGGGAGAGCCAGTGTAGGTACCAGCTGCTACAGGCTGACCTCCCTGGGATCTCTGACCCACTCCTTCTGCTGTCTCCCAAGTGGGCGGGATGTCACTAGGTGTCCAACTGGGATGGGATGAGGAGAGGGGGCACAGATTAAATGGCACCCACGGAGCCATGCCTGTCTCTTGGGGCAGGATGGACCCCATGAGCCACGAGGAGGTGGTTCCCGCTGTGATCCTGCCTCCAGTTTTCTGGTGATGCCGCATCCAGGACGCTGCTGTCCAGCAGCCTCAGCCTCAGCCCCAGCGAGGATGGGAAAGGCCTTTAACGCATTCCACGCCCACTGCTGCTACTCATTAGCTACAGTGATCCAGAGATGCTCCCTGCCCATGTACAGCTCTCTGAGTGCTCACCCCCCAGATTCTCCCAATGAGTCAATGCTATGGCATCCAATCTGACTGCAGGTAATGTAACCTTAGGCCCCAGCATGGCACCTGCTCCCAGCCACGTTCGTTCTGTCTTCATATAGCTCCGGTTTCGGTAGGAGGGAAGCAGTAACAGCAGGATCGTAGGGCAGCAGCCAAAGTGCATGCACGGACCCCTGCCACACGCCTCACAGCCACCGCATGCCCCAAGGCATGCAGACATGCCACCTGGCCCAGCGATGGCACATTGCAGGCTGGGTCTTATAGCCACCAAGGATGCCAATTAGGTGGCAGTTACCATGTAATTAAATTAATATGTGTAAAGGAGACGGAGGCCACAGGCTCTTGTGTGGGCAAAGCTTGGAGAAGGCATTAAATGATTTAGGTCAATTAATACCAAGGGGGTTGGGAGGATCTTTGGAGGTTGTTTTATTGAGGGCGTGACTCCCACTGCTTCCCCCTCCCATCTCCAGACCTTGGCAAGCCTTTGGAACGAGAAGCATTCCTGTCCTTTCGCGGCTTGCTAACAGGCGTGCTTGGGGGAGCTCAGTTTCCCTTGCCCAAACAAAATGCACTGCTCTCTGCCAGCTCTAGCAATAGGTTTGCTCTGTGCTGTCAGCTCACCCGCAAATGAACTGCCTTCTGAGCCCACCAGCCATGACACTGCAGGTCTGTGCAAGAGAGCTAAAGTGTGAATCTGAGCTGTAATCGGGTGGATCTAGACACCAAATTGTCTCCAAATTCATCTCCTAACAGTTCTGAATCATATGCAGTAGCTTTATATCCCGCAGGTCTGTAACCCATGGTCAGGTCTAGCACAAAAGAAAGGTGTGTTTTTCCCAAAAGACACCCTCGTATGATTCCTCCTGAGTGAAGTTGCCTAGCAGTTTGTACCGTCTTTCCACTCCAGTGGGGTGTACTGCAGCTGTCCAATGCCCTGGGGGTATGAGCGAGCCTCCCAGCTGGGGTTGACAGACTTGGGCTAGTGGGGCTCAGAACAGTGCTCTAAAAATAGCAGCATAGACAGCGCTTGGACGTTGCAGCTCTGACTGGAGCTCTGGCTCTGAAGCCCACCCCCTGCCTAGGTTTCAGAGCCCAGAGCTCCAGGTCTGAGCACACATTTATTGCAACCAGTGAGAGCGGAGGGGGCCGGCAGCTCCCAAAATCAGGCCATCACTGAGTCACTCTGTGAAGCTGCTCAGAGGAGTAAAGCATTCTGGGAGGGAATGTGACATCTCAGTGTTCATTTTTCATCAAGATGCAGAAATCCTTAGGGGAATGTCCAGAAACCTCTGGGCATCTCTGTGTTGTATTGGGGCAGGAGGGTTCCCTTTCCACAGCATGTCTGCTGAGTGCCCGCTCCCTGTGTCCTTATTAATACAGGTGTTTGCAGGAAAATCATCCCCTGCGCTCCTCTCTGGATGGGGATGATTAATTATTGCTAATAATACACTGTGATTAAACTGTCAAGCATGGAGCTTCAAAGATAAATCAGCAACCGCAGGTCCTTTTCCCCAACCAGCTTGCTGCTTAAATTAGACACAACAGTGAGTGGGCAGGTTTCTCTTCCCCCTGCTCCTTCCCCAAATGCAAGGTCTGACTCAGATTCCAGAGGTGAAAAAAAACCCCAAACCTCAAGAGCTTAAGGAAAAACCCCAGGTTTGTTCTGGAAGATACAACTGTGCCTATTGGTTCACCCCACCCCAGAGCTGGAGAGACAGAGATTTCAGTGCATCTAAACACGCCAGTGGTGTTCCAACATCCTGGGTCACGGGGACGTATTCAAGAGGCCATGGCCCACTCCATGACCCGCTCCATTCAGGAATCTCCTTTATTCCTACCTCCAAGCCCCCATCCGCATGCTTCATGCCTTATCCCATGGGTTCTCAGCCTGATACTTCAAGCTGAGTTCACTTTCAGCCCCTCAGTGTGTTAGTTATATCAGTTTAAGACTGCCTTAGACACAAAGGGCCTGATTCCAACCTTACATGGATTTTACCCGACTTCAGTGGAGTTACTGCTGAATTCTACAGGTACAAGACCAGAATGAGGCCCCCAGGGGACCAAATTCAGATGACGTGGGTAAGGCGAAAAGAGTGTAAAACTAAGGGAGCATGACTCTAGCACCTTGTGGGAAGAAGGTGTAGATTACTGGGCTCGTCACCTCTGTATTTGGCCCAGCTAGTCCCAGCTGCTTAGGTGTATCAGGAGGGTCTGCTCAACAATGACTTTGGCCACCAGACTCCCAGTTGCCCTCAGTTATAGTCATGCAATTTAAGTGGGGTTGCCACGGGCTCATATGGGCAGAATCTGGCCACCAGCATTTAAGGAGCTGCTGATTTCTTCTCTGGGCTCACTTGGCAACAGAAACATGAGGAGGTCGGGCTGCTACTGTCCCCTTCCTTTGCAAACCCAGTCGGAGTGCTGTTGGACTGGCTTGTGGCCTCAGACCAGGCCTATGCTTTATGCACCTCCAGCTGTATAACACACTAGCCTGGGCCTTGGCAGACAGGATTCAATTCCAGGTGTAGACTGCTCAGGTAAATTATGTCATGCCTCGTGCCTCAGTTTCCCCTCTGTGCAATGGAGGCTCTCAGATGCTCTGGAAATGGAGTCCATAGAAGTGCTGTACATGAGGTTAGAGTGGTGCTGAAGGTCCTCAGCCCATGGGTCAAGGGTGCTGTCATTAGACACCTGTGTTTGAAATCTTTGCCTCGTTTTCACCTGCTGTTGTTATTCATGGGTTGTCCCTTGCAAGTTGGAAGTCGAAATCAGTTTCCAG